AGTGGTAGCCTCATTTTCTTTGGTTCTAATTGTTCCACACATGTATGTTCCTAACTGTGTGCTTAAACATATAAATACAACCTGCCGAGACCTTTTGGTTGTTGGAGTGCGTATGGTTTCCAGGTCGACCATTCTCCATTGGACGACCGACCGGTAAGTGGGCTCACTCCAGGGGAGGCTAATTCTCCTTCTCCCAGGGGCGCTAGTTGCAGTCCTTGTTCAGGGGTGTTTCCCCCTTTCTGTTGATACAGCCACTGTTCCAGTCTTGTTTATACACCATTTCTAAGAGAAAGTTTGCTTCACGTCAGACGCCCGAGCGTCTTGGATTCTGCGCCTTGGTTTGTTCCTTTTGTTTTGTGAACAAGAAAGACATAATCATTGCAAGAAGAGAGCATATACTCGAATTATATTTGTAATTACACTTAAAATGATCTGTCCTGTGGCGTTTTATTCATTGTTTTGATGGTAGAGTTGAAGTAGACCGCGGTATGGTGGAAATTCATCCAATAAAATCAAATGACTCTATGCAAACAAAGTAAGGGAACTTTTTAGTGATTTATTTTGCCAAATAATTGTTCACAAAAATACCAAACCAAACCAAACCAAACCATATTTCCTTCTCAGGTGCCATGAAGTTGGGAGCTGGGCAGAAGGTTCCTTTGTGGAGACTGTATTGCTTTCTGTTACTCTTGTTCATGACAAGCCACAGCCCCGGGATCAGTTCCCAGTTCTGGGTCACGTTGTGCCTCTCTTTCGTTATGGTGTTTCCCCACGAATGACCATACCCTTAGCTGTTTGCCTTGGATGGCTATGCCGACTCATCTGTCTGCAGCTGTGAAATTTCAAGCACAACAGATTTCACCATCGCAAACTCTGGCCATGACACATGTTCAGGCTTCCACCGGGGAATGCCTGCTGAAGCCCCAGAAGTTCACCAGTGTGTTATCAGACGCTGGGAGGGGGCTCCAGAGTCAGTGAGATGTCGCTCTTGTATGTCCTAAGGACCCTCTGTGGGAGGATCAGAACCCTTACCAGTTATTTGATGCCCTGGCTCTGGGTAGCTTCAAAAGAGATGTGGTCCACTTGCTGGCTTTTCTTCGGCACCTGAGGTCAACTTTTGTTGAATTCAAGGCCAGTACCTGTCAGGATAGAGCAGACCTCCATCCTGCTGGCTCCAGTCCCTTACTTGGGAACCTTTTGTTTGTTTGCGTTGGTCTAAAGGACCCATAGGCAGTGGAGAGCCCTGACCTGGGGTTACTTCCACTGTGTCAAAGTGTGCAAAAGAAGTGTGCAAAAGGGTGATGCTAACCCTTCCCCAACAGCCCTGGGCCCTGTCACATGGCCCTGCTGCCTTTCCTCCCATTCACCTCCGTGAGGGTGCTCTTTGGGCCGTATGATTAATCTCTAGCTTCCTGGAGCTGTGATTCGGTGTTGGGCACTCATGTTCTCACGGCTGAGCTGCTTCTTGATGGGGCTATAGGAGCACATGCTCTCTGTACCTGAGTCACTCTGAGACAGCAAGAAGTTTGATTCGAACTTGCTACACTGGGCCCTTTATTGTCCTTGAGTGAAATGATTCTTTTCCAGTGGTGTTAGGCTTTCCTGGTATGTTCACGCACTGAACATTTTCTTTTTAAAAGTGTTTCAGTGTTTGATATATACATACAGATAGATAGACAGACAGACAGACAGGCAGGCAGATAGGGTTTCACTATGTAGCCCAGGTTGGCCGTGAACTTGTAGCAATGCTCCCCCATTCAACCTCCTAAACACTGGGATTACAATCAGGAGCCAGCACAACCAACGAGCTGCCTACTCAGTGCCTCTGATTAATAGCTCCTTGTGTTTTGTAGGGTCAGCTCCCTACTGTGAGCTCCTTAACGCAAGGCAAGGCAGGGATCAGACAGAAACTCTTGTTTTTATGTGCTTCAAATTCACCTCACCTATGTGGGTACTCTCTGAGCTTGATGAAAGTCGTTATTAAAACTTAAAAAAGTAAAGTCAACTCAAGACCTCAAAGAGAACGAAAGCCTAGATATTGAGTATTAACATCTCAGGAAGATTTCTTTGTGTAACTCAACCACTACCAATCCCTTCCCATGCCAGGGTCTTCTCGGTCCGCAGAGATGTAGGTTTTGAATAATTCCTTGCTCATATTCTAGTGCTCTGCTTCATTTAGAAAAGGAGTCTTTTGCTTTATCGCATGGAATAATTCCAGCCTCAAAGCAATTCCTACACAAGCCCATGTCTCTCTTCCGTGTCAATAAACCGATGTATGTTTCTGGGTATTATACTTTAGTTACAGATGCTTAGCAAGGGAAGGAATTGCATACATGGCAGAGTGGCTAGTCTTGTCTCGACATCCGTCACACGTCTGTCCCTGGCTCTCGGCTCATGTCTATCCCACTTGCATCTGTTGTCTGTAGTTCTGTGTATCAGTGTCCATCCATCTATACTTCTAGCTATCACTAGCCACCTGTCTGTCTGTTTTTCATCCCTTTCCATTATTTCCAGCTCTCCATCTCTGTCTGTCCCTACCCTAGTATATCTGTCTATCCATCCGTCTGTTATCTCTACCCACCTTCTACTTCAGTCTCTCCCTTCTCTGTGAGCTCGGATGCCTTCCGTTTGCCACTCTTTCGGGTGAATTGCTCCAGAATGGGGTTTTGTAGCCAAATTACAGGCTCATTTACAGCAAAATTCCGATGACTCCCGAGTACACTGCAGCAGACATTTCATGTATTTCCTTTTCACGGTTCCTACTTGTATTATGTGTGCTCCTACCCAAGCTTAAAATAGAGACTGCTGACACCTATGCTCTCAAAGCAATGTTGCGGAGACAAGCATGCCCCAGAGAAAAGATGAAATAAAAACCAAGGAACAGCAGTGAGAATAACAGCCCCTTTCAAAGGTGTGCTCACACAAAACCACTTCATACCGGCTGGGATAAAGACACGAATGCATTTCTTTGTATTCCCACGGTGTTCATAAACCGGAAACGAGACGACTGTGCTTTCTGAGCACAAACCAATACCTTTTCTAACTGCAAACTGTGCCATCATAAGGTTCTGTCTTTTGAAGACTACGGCTGCCCTGGGAAGGGCCGCCACCGCTGCTCTGTCCTGGTTGGTCCAGGCCATCTGTCTGTTCCTCTGGTACCGGTTCTTTCAGGCGCCCCTCCTCTAGGGGCCATCCTCAGACTTACCTGACCCTGCCGTCAAGTGTGGGACTCATTCTCTTCCTACATTTTCACCCAGGGGCTGTTCATTTTTCCTTTTTGGCTAAGAAAATAATTGTACACTTGATTTTTTAAAAATTGGTATAAGAAAACACAAAGACTATTAGTTTTCTGCTCGGCCGTCACAATGTTAAAAACCCAGAATAAAAGATGTGGATGCCTTCCGGGGGCGCTGTCCAAGCTCTGCTCTAGAAAGGGAGGAAACCCAGGGTGGAGGGGCTTGGACTTCATCTCTGCTTTTCATTTCTTCCCGGTTTCAGTTGTTGACCCTGGACCACAACGATGCCCTTCCTTCTTTTGCAAACCTCATTCCTTCCAGGTCCCTTCGATTCTCCTTCCTTCTGGGAACCTCCACCCATTCCAATTCTCTTTAACAGTAAGAACCTTGAACATGAGCTTACTCACGGTCTCTTGCAGTTTTGATGTGTGAACGTGTTCTGTCTTTCCAGGCTTCTCAAAGGTGTCTGTACCGATGTGTAAGTTTTCTACAGCAGATGCTTTTTCACGTTCTTCATGAAGCAGATACTGGTAAACAGGGTAGAGCTAAACACACAACCTGAATTTAGCTCTATTCTGTATCTCAGAGCGTTCTAGTCAGTAACATTTTCACCTAGATCAAAGGAAGTGTAACTGCTTTTCCATGGTGACTTAAGTTTGAATAATACCAATGAATTGGGCAAGCCTAGAATCTCTCGTTTCATTTATTCAAAACAAAATACACAGTGTATGCTTTTATGGACTCAAAGTCATGCTGGACATCGTGGTGGACACAGGACACTGGCGGTAGCTTCGTGAAACCAAGGGTGAGGACCGTAAGAGAGAATGACAGGTGGGGACTTTAGGTTGCTGAAGAATGTCTCCCTAAGGACATGGCTAATCTGAAACTGAAGACTGAGGATGCTGGAGCTCGGTGGAGTGCTAGGAGCAGAGGAAAACAGCTCCGTGCTGCCGGCTCTAGCAGCCTGAGGAGTCTTTCCTCAGAGACCTCTACTTAGCTGAAGCCGTGATCTTCATTTAGATTTGGGGAAAGTAGCCAGGCGTTGGTGGCGCACGCCTTTAGTCCCAGCGCTCGGGAGGCAGAGGCAGGCGGATCTCTGGGAGTTCAAGGCCAGCCTGGTCTACAAGAGCTAGTTTCAGGACAGGCTTCAAAGCAACCCTGCCTCAAAAAAGCAAACAAACAAAAATACTTGGGGAAATAATTTTAGAAGGGGTTGAATGAGCGGCGTCACCCACGGGCTTGT